TGTAGTGTGTTTAGTGTGTGTGTTGTTGTGTGTAGTGTGGTGTGTAGTGTGTGTGGTGTGTGTGTAGTGTGTGTGTGTGTGTGTGTGTGTGTGTGTGTGTGTGTGTGTAGCGTGTGTTTTACTGGGGACCAAATTAGGATATCTATCATACATGCTCCCATTGAACTATACTTCCAGTCCTCTTTCTACTTATCATTTTGAGACAGAGTTGCTGACATGTCCAGGCATAGCACTCACTCTTTGCCCAGTCAAACGCTGAGCCCATGATCCTTCCGAGTTTCCCACAGAGCTGGCATTGCAGGCTTGCCAGGCCGACTTCACACGCCACCTCCCCTTCTAGAAGTTTGCTTTATGGCGGTTTCCAGTCAGCTAGAGGGCTGTGTGAAGGGACAGTGGGAGAGGCCAGCACTCAATCTCGCTGAAGCTGGAATGTTGCTCTGGTTAGCCTGAAAAACAAAACAAACAAACCCAAGAAGGAAAACCAGCCTCTGAAGCAGAACTCATCAGTGGAGGCAGGGCTACTGCTGGACACGGTCACAAGGGGACAGGCAGAGTTCAGCTGAGTCCTCCTGCTCTCCACTTGGGCCACAGGACAGGGGCTGCGCATGGGCAGTTTGTGGAAGGAGTGGACAAAGGTGATACAGTCCATTCAGTGGAAGGAGAGAGAGGCCCACAGTTGGATCTAGAACCTGGCTTCACCAAATGCCCCCTGACTCTTCTCATATCGACTGGGCAACCTCGCTTGTTATCATCAGATCTGGCTTAGGCACGGTGGTTGGGAGAGAGGCAGTGAGTTTGGTCTGGGAACTGCAAGCGAGGAGGGAGCTTTGAGGGCTTGGCACAGAAAAGGAAGAAGTGAGCTTCTAGAGGCCAGGTGGCTGAATGGGGCACTTAGTCCTGGCAAGAGCCGGCACATTGTGCTGAGAACTGAGATTAGAAAGGGCTGGAGCTCCAGGGGTGTGCACGGGTCACTTAGTCTGGTCAGAAGAACCCACCAAGTTCTTGCCTAGGATAGGAAGATGGATCCGAGCCCAGGAATGAGACTGGGTGTCTGCATAATGATGACGGTAAGCCATAACTGCACAGAATCACCTCCTTCCCAGACTCAAGCGGACACCCAGGCTTCACAGAGGTGAAGGCAAATGGATTTGTAGGATCAATATCTGTGATCCACTGGCCATCACGGTAACTTCCTCTTCCCTGAGGCTTCTTGTGGGAAACTGGTGCCTGAATGTCGGGAAGGCTGCAGGCAGACCTCGAAGAGCCTCGGAGTCCTCTTCCCTGACCTCTCTGGTCTCTCTGCAGGCCAGCACTACACGGACGACTTTGCCCAGGTGAACCCCTTGAGGAAGGTGCCAGCTTTGAAGGATGGGGACTTCGTCCTGGCAGAGAGGTAATGGGCTCCTGGCTTGCAGCCAAGCTGTGTGAGGCAGGCCACCTGCCTGGGCCCACGGCCAACACCATGGACTGTGGCTTCTGTGTCAGCCCCAAGGGGTAGATGGTCAGATCAAACTTAAACAGGTACCTGGGGCTTTTGAGAGGGTCTTTTGAAGCCATGGTATGCTTCCCTCCCTCCATCCCTCCCTCCCTCCCTCCCTCCCTCCCTCTGCATTTTATGGATGAGGAAAGTGAGCCTGGGATATAGGTAGGCTGCCTCCTAGCTCCTCTCTGTTAGCCCAGCCCTCAGGATCAAGGACAGTGCCAAAGTGCCAAAGAGAGAGTGGCTGTGCCAGGCCCTGCAAATACCACATCTACCACAGATCCCGGGTGTGCGTGCGTGCGTGCGTGCGTGCGTGCGTGCGTGCGTGCGTGCGTGCATGCATGCATGGGGGTGGCGCTGCTTCCCTTGAAGCCAAAGGGGGGTCACCCATTGAACTTAGTTCTCTTCTGCTGAGCACCCAGGAGCACCAGCTCACTGCCCATCCTTGGAGCTCGAGCAGAACGTCATCTGGGCCTGCAGGGAACTCACAGTTTGGAGGGAGGAGTGACAGGAACACGGCAGGTGGAGAGGGCACTGGAGAGGAGACAGGTTGGGGGTGTGATGTCAGGTGAGAGGCTAAGAGGGAAGCCTGCTTCCGAGGTGGCAAGCAAGCAGGACCTTCCAGTACTGATGTGCCAGGGATGTGGGCAGTGAGTTCTTGCTGGAAGGACCAAGGTGAAGGCCGTGCCGTTGGACCATGCAGGGGTGCAGGCCAAAGGGAAAGGCTTTGACCTTTCCTGTAGACAGGAAGGGCCTCAGGAGAATCTGAGCAGAGGCAAGCTCCCATCCCCCTTGTGTTTGAAAAAATCCCCAGGCTGGATCAGAAGGCATGTGGAGATTCAGGTACAAGACACTCTGGCCCTAGACCAAGGTGACTTAAGAAATGACCAGGGCGTGGGCTGGAGAGATGGCTCAGAGGTTAAGAGCACTGCTTGCTCTT